TGGCGATGCATTTCTCGTTCTGTTTCGATTGAAAACTTTTTCGAAACTTCGTTGATCTGGTAGTGATTAGTACTTCGATTGTTTTCTGTAATATTGCTTCTTGGAAGGCCAAATTATAAGAATAGAGAAACAACATAATTTTATACTATGATTTCAAAATAGTGTGGCTTAATCAACTGTGTGTTCATGATTAATCAAAATAACATAATTACGTGTCAGTTATTTTCAATCCACTTATATTTATGACTGTTTGATTTATAGGAGCGCATACCAGTTCAGGAAGTGTTTGAGCAATTGAAATGCTCCCGAGATGGTTTGTCCTCAGAGGAGGGGCGCCAGAGGCTTCAGCTCTTCGGCCCAAATAAGCTTGAAGAGAAAAAGGTCACTTATGACTGAGAACAAACACAAATGTCTCCACTTTTAGCTTCAATGAAAATGAAAATCTAACGGTTAAACTGTTCTTCCCAAACAGGAAAATAAATTTCTGAAGTTTCTTGGTTTTATGTGGAATCCACTTTCATGGGTTATGGAAGCTGCAGCTGTCATGGCCATTGTGCTTGCCAATGGAGGGGTAACGTTTTTCTCTTTCTCTCTGTTTTCGAAATGTAAATCAAAGTTCTTGCCGAGACACTGATATGATTTCAATGGATAAAATTGCAGGGGCAACCACCGGATTGGCAGGACTTTGTGGGTATTACTGCACTGCTTATTATCAATTCCACAATCAGCTTTATAGAGGAAAACAATGCAGGCAATGCTGCAGCAGCACTTATGGCCGGTCTTGCACCAAAAACCAAGGTCCTTCGTGACGGAAAATGGTGTGAGGAAGAGGCTGCAATCTTAGTTCCGGGAGATGTTATCAGCATTAAGTTGGGAGATATCATTCCAGCAGATGCCCGTTTGTTGGACGGTGATCCTCTTAAGATTGATCAGTCAGCACTTACCGGGGAGTCTTTGCCAGTTACAAGGTGCGCTGGTGATGAAGTGTTTTCTGGTTCCACCGTCAAGCAGGGTGAGATCGAGGCTGTTGTAATTGCTACTGGCGTCCACACCTTCTTTGGAAAGGCTGCTCATTTGGTTGATAGCACAAATCAAGTGGGACACTTCCAAAAGGTAATGTGCGAAAAGGTTTCACGTTCTCTTTCACAGTCAGAGAAATGAAAGGTTTAACTAGTGATTATATGTTTGTCATGTTCTATTCAATTCTATTGTTTTCAGGTGTTGACTGCCATTGGAAACTTCTGTATTTGCTCGATTGCTGTGGGGATGGCGATAGAGATAGTAGTGATGTATCCTATTCAACATCGTCGATATAGAGATGGGATTAACAATCTCTTGGTGCTTCTCATTGGGGGGATTCCAATTGCCATGCCAACAGTGTTGTCAGTCACAATGGCCATTGGTTCTCATAGGTTATCCCAGCAGGGTGCTATTACAAAGAGAATGACGGCCATTGAAGAGATGGCTGGAATGGATGTACTCTGCAGTGATAAGACTGGAACTCTAACTCTCAACAAGCTTACAGTTGACAAATCCATGATTGAGGTGTTCGTTAGAGATGTCGACAAAGATACTGTAATTTTGCTTGGTGCTAGAGCTTCCAGGGTTGAGAATCAAGATGCTATTGATGCTTGCATTGTTGGCATGCTAGGCGATCCTAAGGAGGTATATTCTTTAAACTATACAGCAAATAGTATCTGCCTTTTCTATGGCCTTTGATGCTTTCATAGATGACATTCTAATGTGTTAACCTTCTCTTTCATTACCTCACAGGCCAGAGAAGGCATTAAAGAGGTCCATTTCTTGCCCTTTAACCCTGTAGACAAGCGTACAGCTATTACATATATTGATAGCGATGGCAATTGGCATAGAGTGAGCAAAGGAGCACCGGAGCAGGTTGTAGAACTACTGAAACTTATGCATTATCTTTCTCTAGCTCTACTTCATATTTACATATTTGGAATCTGGACAGATTATCGAGCTCTGTGACCTCCGGGAAGATATTAAGAAGAAGGCTCATTCAATCATCGACAAATTTGCTGACCGTGGTCTTCGTTCTCTTGCTGTTGGCAGACAGGTAATTGTCTAGTTTATCTTCAAAATTGAAATATGACTGAAAAAAAGACTTTTATACAGACCGTTCCAGAAAAATCCAAAGATGCTGCTGGAGGACCGTGGCAATTTGTTGGTCTCTTGCCTCTCTTTGACCCTCCAAGGCATGACAGTGCAGAGACAATCCGAAGGGCACTTAATCTTGGTGTCAACGTTAAGATGATCACCGGTGACCAACTGGCCATTGGGAAGGAAACTGGGCGCAGGCTTGGAATGGGCACAAACATGTATCCATCTTCCTCCCTCCTTGGACAAAGCAAGGACGAATCAATTGCTTCTTTGCCTGTTGATGAGCTTATTGAGAAGGCTGACGGATTTGCAGGCGTCTTCCCCGGTGAGCATTAGGATGATTAGATTGATGTAACATAGCTTTTTTGTGCCTTTGCATACTGAATGGCTGTTGTTAAATGCAGAGCACAAATATGAAATTGTGAGGAGACTTCAAGAAAGGAAGCATATCTGTGGGATGACAGGAGATGGCGTGAATGATGCTCCAGCATTGAAGAAGGCAGACATAGGAATTGCAGTGGCTGATGCAACTGATGCGGCAAGAAGTGCTTCTGATATAGTCTTGACAGAGCCAGGACTGAGCGTGATTGTCAGTGCTGTTTTAACAAGCAGAGCCATTTTCCAGAGGATGAAGAACTACACCATCTACGCAGTTTCAATCACCATCCGTATTGTGTTGGGCTTTATGCTTATTGCACTCATTTGGAAATTTGACTTCTCCCCTTTCATGGTTCTTGTCATAGCCATTCTCAATGATGGCACCATCATGACCATCTCTAAAGACAGAGTAAAACCTTCCCCTCTTCCTGATTCATGGAAGCTCCGCGAGATCTTTGCAACTGGAGTTGTTTTGGGCTCTTACTTGGCCGTTATGACTGTTGTTTTCTTCTGGATCATTAACACCACTGATTTCTTTTCGGTAAGAAAATTGCAAATAATCACTAACCCAGATTGAACTTTTTAGCATTCTGCTGCTTATCCTTGTTCTTATTAACGTGCAGGATAAATTTGGTGTCCGTTCCATCAGAGAAAATAGGGCTGAGCTCACAGCAGCTGTGTATCTTCAAGTTAGCACAGTCAGTCAGGCACTCATTTTCGTCACAAGATCTCGAAGCTGGTCATTTATTGAACGCCCTGGTCTACTCCTCGTGTTTGCATTCTTCGTGGCACAGCTGGTAAGAGGCGTAACCCATTAGCTTGGTTATGTAATGTTATTTCCTTCTAAAATGGATTTATATTATTTGTTGTCAAGGTGGCTACGCTCATTGCTGTGTATGCGAACTGGGATTTTGCGGTTATGAAAGGGATTGGATGGGGATGGGCTGGAGTGATCTGGATCTACAGCATAGTCTTCTACATTCCTCTGGACGTTCTCAAGTTCGCCACTCGATATGCATTGAGCGGCAAGGCTTGGGACAATATGCTCCAAAACAAGGTACGTAAAAAGGACTAAAAACAAAAGCCTCAACTAGACATTTACGGACTCTCGCTCATTGCTCTCACATGCATTTCAGATTGCTTTCTCATCAAAGAAAGATTATGGCATTGGAGAGAGAGAGGCTCAATGGGCTGCAGCTCAACGTACCCTTCACGGCCTGCAGCCTCCCGAAATGTCAGAGCTCTTCAATGACAAGAGCAATTACAGGGAGTTGTCTGAAATCGCAGAGCAAGCCATGAAGCGTGCTGAGGTTGCAAGGTTGAGGGAGCTTCATACATTGAAGGGGCATGTTGAATCGGTGGTGAAGCTAAAGGGATTGGACATTGAAACGATCCAACAACACTATACTGTTTGAAGATGAAGACAGAGAGAGGATTTTCAGGTGCCGGAAAAGTGGCCGCCGGCGAGAGCAGCGAGACACAGAAATCAAAAAAAAAAAAAAAAAAAAAAAAAA